GCCGATATGCATCGATAAGCTACAAAAAGAGATTATTCTTATATATACCTTCAATGATAATCTTTAAGTCTGCTTATATTCATTTCAAAGAATATCTAGAAAAAAAGGAAGTAAGCGAAAATACCCTAGTTAATTTTGTTCTAACTTGAAGTCCTTAATTTGGAGGACATCTCTAACTGATTTTTTAACGCATTTAGGCATTGTAGTAACAGCTAACTGCCAGAGTAGGCGGAAGTACAAGTGTCTATTATTCTATATCAACTTGTAAGTGACTTTGTAACAGCCATTCGAAGAGTTTGTCTCTCATTTATGCCTTTAAAATGGATGACTGAAGGATTCTTACAGTAGTAAGAGGATGAGTTCAATTAATTCTTTGTAGTCTGCATATGATGGCGAAGATTCGTGAATAATCTCGGTGTTGTTAAGTTTTGTCAGCTGCTCAGTCTGACGGCCAACTTCTCAAGGTCTTAATGGACTACATATTCCATTTTAAGATTACGTAATTCCCCATGATTGAAATAACCTTGTTTCTTGATGAATTTGATTGTGAAGGTTCTCCTACCACGCTTTTGCTTAGATATTTTTATCAACCGGCCTATTTAGCTAATATTTAACCTAAGACAGCCACAGGAACTAATTCAACAGGGAACATGTAGAAAACATAAACCAAGGAAACACTAAGCATGTTAGAAAATACTTAGAATCCTGGCAGTTAGGCAACATATTGATATAGGTTAGACACTGAAGAATAGATCACAGCCGAAAGGTCAAGTGTCTAATCAGTGAAGTAATCACTACAAAAATGAACACAGTGGTAAGATAAATTGCGGAGACAACCCACCATGGTCAACGTCACCGGGGAAGATGTTTTATTTCAATGAGATGTACTTCTCACTACCCGCTGTTTCATTTTCATACTACTATAGTTTAATTTTGGAGTTAATAATGTTGGTGGAAAGAAATTCATTTGATAATTAAAACTCCTGTAACCAGTAGTACCTAAATGTTACGTATAACAAAGGCCATACTTGTATCCTGGTATCAGCAACACACAATTCTTTTGCATGATACAGGTGAGAAATATGAACACCAAAGTTCATTGGCTGAAGAAAAATAGGCTGTGCTCTGAATAAAAACTAAATGTCCCCAGTACCCCGAATTTGCCTGAACTTTCGCATACAGATTAAGCGATTACAAAGTTTGAGAAAATGACAAAGACTGATCTGTTTCTTTTACCCATTCTAAGAGAGTTTTGTTATCCGTGATGCCTGTCATATGCGTTGAACCAGCTATAAAATATTTGAAGGCTTTTCGCCTAACTTTATGACTGAGTCCATCCAATTACTGCTCACTCCTTGCCTTCCTAAGTTTTCATCACGCAAGTTGGGTCGCCTACCTGAGAAAAAGCAGATTCTGGTCATCACATAAGTCTCATCAGATAGTGAAGAGGACAACGTTCAACTTATTTTACTCAGTGTCAGAGAGCGACCTACTAAATCAAGTTACATACCTGAACATTGATAGTTTTTTGTTTTGTTCCACTTACATCAGTAGACCTCTTCACCTGGTGTAAAGCAATGATGATTAAGTGAGATAAGTTTTACAAAACTTTACTCCAGTCTTTATAGTTTCCTGTCCCAACCTTTCTCGTCTATAGTGACAATTAGAAGTTTCTTTTACTACCTAACAATTAGTGGCTGTGGTTATTTTTAAGGAGAGAGAAAAATTAATCCCGTTACTTTTTCCAGGTCATTTGTTCCAATATAGAGAGAATTGCTTAAACTATTAATAAAAAGAGCTTTCTTATAGTTGAGTACCACTCTTTCTCTCTGTTTCCCTGTTACATACATACTTTAATTTATTTCAGTGAGCATGAAGAATACTGGAACTTTTACTGGTTTGTGCATCTCACTCCAACAATATACACCATATCCTGTTCATCACTATTTGTCGTTACTATCACCAATGTCGAATAGCATCGTCTTTCCTCCAGTGCTTTCAGAAACTCATTCACACAAGGGTATTTTACTCACTTGTGTTTTGTTGACATCCAAATCTATTTAGGTGATTATTTGACGTTTAGAATTATCAGACAGCTGAGGGTAAAAGAATATTTCCATATTCATTTTTTATGTACCTGATGTGAAGTGGAGAGGTGGTGCTAATTAAAGTTTTAAGTGAAAACAGGCTAACCAACTCGGAGACATTAATAGACACACGTGCACACATACACAAGAAAACTGATGATTCATTATACTCGCGTTAAGATAAAAAAATTCTTTAGAAGTAGAAAAGTGAAAACTTTAATAACCCCAAAAATAAAATAAACGTTGAGTGGAGAGAAAAGTAAACGAGAGCTGCAATCAGTGCACGCGTTCGTGTGTGTTTACGTCTTTAGTATTGTGTGTACAGATGAATATTTATGCGAAGAATCATTGTTGTACACTAAGCACCGAGAGTTATTGCTAATTCTATTATCATTATCACTAGTAGCAACAAATATGCAGGAGAAAGTGGAGATGGATTGAACACTCGCTGAGGAGGCCGCTGCGTGACATCGCGCGTCAGGCCAGTGCTCGAGTGGAACCCGAAAGGAAAGTGGCGAGTGGGACGTCCAAGGGTGATATGGAGGAGATCGTGTGAAGAGGAGTTGAAACAGTATGGACTAACATGGATGCAGGTGAAAAGTACAGCAGAAGACAGAAGCAAGTGGAGACGCGTAGTTGAAGCCCTATGTTCCACTAGGAACCCAAGGGAACAATAATAATAAATAATAATAACCATTAATAGTATATATATATATGCTTCGATGATTCAATGGTGGAATGCTTTCCAACAACGCACGTGGTCCGTGATTCTGTTCGTAACTGACGTCTACCTAAACTTCATCTAGCTGGTAGTAAATCGATAAAAGAGGAGAGATCAAGCGTGAGGTTGGCAATCGCATCCCTAAAAAAACACACTAATGCTGCTGAAACTTCAAAGCTGAAACTTAAAGCCTTGTGTCCCACTTGAACCCTAAAGGAATATATATACATATACGTGAAAGGGTAAGCACCAGTATTTATAAATTTCAACCGCTATACCAAGTTTTCCTATCGTAAAATATCAACGAAACAGAACGCGAAAGTTATTATTCGTCAGAATTTTTTTTTCAAGTAAAATATTGAGGTAAAGTAGATGCTAATCCAAAGCATTCAGGGAGGGTAACCCTATATCAAGAATTGACAAAGTGAGAATTCAAAAACCATTAGATTCAGGCCCAAGTGGCTGAATGGTCAACCAGCTAGATCTCGTAACCCAAAAATCACGTGCCTGATCTCTGGTGGGGTTGTGAGTGTGCACTGATGAGGGGTCTCAAACTAGGACGAAACATTTGTTCAGTGTCCCCTGGTTTTCAATGATTCTGTAACTGATGTTGATTCATTAATCAGTCTGCATTGAAACTAGTCCAAATACTTACCATAACCCTGAATCTACAGAAAGATGAAGTGTTTTTCATTATTATGGCTTCCACAAGTGTCTTGTAATAATAATGACTTGATGGCCGTAATACTTCTTGCTTCTGAGATATTAGACATCTAAGACAAGGGTAAGTAATCTAAAAGTACTCACTGAAATCAGCAAGAGAAAGAGACTGACAGTATCTGGGGTGTTGTTATTTTATTCACATGCATTAAATTGCATGTGGACGAGAATTGTGACACAGTTACTCCAGTGTTCTGTAAAGGCCTAATAGAACGACGGATGTCGTCCTTCTATTGCGTTTTCTTCCCAGTATGCCATAAAGCTTTGGCTAACTGTATTGTTTATCATGGCGAAAACAATTCTCCTGAAAATCAGTTAGTTTGTAGTCGTCAGCCATGTCCATAGGCAGCAGAAATAGCTTACTCGTCTTGTTTTTCTCCGTATTTCACAGGTGGAAAGTGAATTCATTTTTTGTAATTATTATGTCGCATTGGAAGAATTCAAGCAGTTTTAAAACGGATATTTATGTGTCTTCAACGCTGTGCTTAAATTGTGATAAAGCTAGTCGCCAAATCACATCTGGTGAGGTGAATAACGAATTCCTTATGTCAAAAATAGTCTTAGTCGATCCAGTGTGTAGATGCCAGAATAGTTAACTAAATGTGTCGAGCATGTTTCACAGAGACTGTAAATAAATATGGGCGTAAATGTATTTGCATCAAAGCATAATCATCCGAGTAATCTTACTTTCTAAAATGATAAAGTCAGTTGTTTATTTCTGAAAACACTACAAAGAAATCCCAACAGTTATGCATCTAAAAAAGAAAGTCTAATGAGATTCGTGACTGATGAAATTCACCAATTTGGCTGTGGGAACATATCACAAATATTGAGAATTCTGTCTTTAACCTAATGGATTGATGTTAGTATGCTTGCATGTAACTTAAATGTTTTAGGTTCTACATCTCGCAAGTTGCGTTCGACCCTAGCTGAAGAATTCGAAACCAGGAAGAAGCAGGCGTTCGATGAAACTTGTTTCCCATGGAGTATATAGCTTACGACCGCTTGTAATGAATTACATCGGTAAACACATGTATACTTAATTAGTTTGACAAAAGGTCCGCTTTCCTAATTATTTCTCAAAGAACCCACTGAATTGCGAGTTTTATAAAATATGAGTTTCGAAATTTATGCTACCTCCTGTGGTCATCGGGGAGTGTCATTTAATTCACAGTTTTGTGACAGAATACTGAAAAGTAGTTTTCGACAAGATGAGTTGCATAGTAATTCACTTAGGCAGATGATTATGTAATTGAAATTCTTGACATAGGCATAAGTTATCTAAATTTGTAGATACTTCTTCCTAGTAAATGTCAAAAATTGGTAAATGGAGTTCTCAGGTTTCACATTGTTCCTAAGGCTTTTCATCGTTGTTTCTTAATATAAAATTATACAAAAAGCCGTGACAATCCTATCAGCTTGTACATAAAGAAATATTTTGCGTTAACTGTATCATAATCATAAACACTAACCTTAACGAAATCTGTGCTTCGTATATTTCCACTGACAACTCCTGTTTCATCTTTGAAAAAGTCACGTATAAACTTAACTGCATTCGCTAAACTATGCGGAGTTGGAATAACATTAAAGGGGACTGGCAGAGTACTACCATTGTCAATATAATTCAACCACAGTTGGGTACGTGCGAATTTCCACTCCACGTCACAGTCCTCCTGAAAAAGTAACACAGCAGAAAAAAAACAACACCGAAGGTGAATACTGAACAAAACTGGTTGGCAAAACTGAAAACCAAATGACAGTGGAAATAAATCTTCTCTTGTGAGATAGTCTTTGAGAAAGAGTTTCCTACTGAAAGCAAATGTTACACGCCAGTCTTCAGTCTGCTGTTGGAATTTATATGTTTTAGATGTAAATGCAAGTATAACAGACTCTAGTGTTTATCCACCGCATTCAAACATATTTCAGTAACACCACTCTGACAAAAGCAATAGTAACTTTTATTCTGTATTTCTTTAAAGTTTCTAACCTTGAAAAATAAAAAATTCACCAATGCGGTTATTAATAAAACAGATATTTCCAAGAAGAATCACTTCTGAATACTGAGAACAGTTCACCTTCCAGAATCATTTAAGTTATTTTTTTATGTTGTCGTTATTACCTCGAATTAAGATGGATATGCATATTTTGAAGAAAAACCGGAGTTTCTGATTTATTCACCAAAATGGAGTCTCCATAAACATCCTGAAACGAATTCTTCCTCAAGAACCTCGACAGCAGAAAATTTTAGCCTCAGTAAAACTGCTTTTGATATACCCTAGTCGATATTACTAAAATGACATAATTGGCAGTTCAACAGAAATGTGTTATAGGTTCTCTTTTAATTAGTCTTATCTAAAAGTTGACTTTTCACCTCTATCTATTTATGCATGCACTCATTCCACAGAATTACTGAATACTTATTTGCTTTCAATAAACTAGAGGCTTTTTAGGTCAACTAAAAGCCTTCCGGCAAACAAAGGAATTGGGCGGAAACCTTCCTGGATAGTAGCAAACTTAAAGTATGACTAGCTATTCAGATCATTGCTACACTAAGCCTTTATTATCAAAATGAACCAGTTAAAGTATTTTCACTAAAGCAACTCCAGCAATTTTCATAAAAGTCTCATTCATCATTATCAAGCTGGAAAGTCTACCACATGACTTCATTTTCATTAGAAACCTGTCAGGTGTATATATTTATTACCTTAAAATGAGTGAATTCCCTGCTTGAAGTCCTTGATAATTGTTATATGTGTGTATGATGGATTTCCTTTTTCAGTAGGATATCCAGCACTCATTGCTGTGGTGACAGTAACAAAACAGGACGAAACATTTATGTTTTTGTTACTTGTCATCAAACTCGGCTGAAATAAATTTAGTGAAAAATTCGAAGAATCTATCTATCGGTTTATCTATATATCCATAAAAGGCACAAAAAATAAGACTGTTATCCAAGCGGCTTTTTATATTAATATTAGGAAAAGAAACCAAGCTGACAGAAAAATATGATGGGAATGAAACTAATTACCTGAATACTTTCAAATGAATGACTCATCATAGCAATCAGCATATTGACCAAGACAATTATTATAATCCCGTGATAAACAGCAAATAATACCATGCCAACACTATCGACGATTGCTGTCGGTGAGTCTGTATCAATCATGCCATCAGTGTATTTATGTTCACCTTGATCTATTGTTTGCAAATACAAAATATGCAAATCCGTCAGAGCTATGGTGCACAATAAAAATTAAGTTGAACGATACAACTTTAAACATAATAAACCTCCAGTCACTTTTTCGTCTTGTCTTATGCAAACTTTTATCACTAGTTTAATGCTGAATGATAAAAACTCTCCTAGTTAATCATAACGTTAACTAATGAAATTCTAAGAAATACGGTAGTTGGTTATTTGGAAGGAATCTATTAAGTTTGTTTTATAAAAGTGAGAATTAAAGACGTAAAATAAAATTTTTGAATATCTCAGAAAGTTTAGAGATATGCAAATGCATTTCGAAGTCTTTTTATTGATGCTTTTTTCGTTTAACATTGTGGGAAGATATTTTTTCGGAAAAAACATTGATTTTGAAAACTATAGGATATGTAGTATAGCACGTAATGAAATTAACAGTTCTCAGATGCTTACAAAAATCAGTAATATACACTAGAGAAGTCGAGATGACCTAAAAATCAGATAGCTGTTTCATTGATTCGGAACACGGCTCGTCTGTCTTAAGTGTGAACTATTTCAAGTTGTCTGAATTCTGGTTAGGCATTTAAGCAGACTGTTGGTACTCCAAATCAAATCAGACGTTGGTTTGTTATGATCAGTATAGCACTAGGAAGGCCACAGATGTGGTGTTTATACCTCAGAGGAAGAAGCAGGATGAAGTGAATTCTCCTGGAAAATGAATAACACTTAAATCGAGAATTAAGCTCGTATTTCCGCTTATTTGCAAAGTAACCTTTAATGTTATTTCTTTTACTACTATTTTTAAGTGAGATTGACCGTCCTGGTGCCGTTATCCAAGGTTGGATGAATCAGTAGCAGTAAAATGATTTCAAGCTGGCTATTGTCCACGCTGAAGACTATGACTAATTTGATAATGATTTCAAGACTAATTACGAAGTGATTTCAGCTGGCGAACCACTGAAAATCAGGGAGTAGTGGGAAGCTGTTTCCCCTTGTTTGGGACTCTTCATCAGTACGCACCCGTGATCCTAGCAGTGATTCAATCCATAACCTTTAGGTTGCAAGGCAAATTCGAATACAATTGAATGAGTGGGACGGAATTCTGTGATACATCAAATCCAACTTCTGTCATTTCTCGAATCGACAGTTTACTACGCTGTTTCAAGAAAACGCCGAAACATTTCACAAATGTGTTTCGTTACTGGTTGTCGCCTATATAAGCACTAGTCTTGAGTTTCAAATATTGGATTCGTAGGGGTATAAATGACCTGAAGCAGGTTTATTTATGTACCCTTACATACTGAAAACCTCTGAACGCCTGATAGAAACGACTTCAAATAGTTTTGGTGTATACAATTTTTCACAGTCTGTAAATTCTATTCAACACTCGATACATATTAATGTTCGATACACATGGTGACATTATATTCAGTCAGAGTTAGACTAGATATTAACGATTTCTGGAAAAATTTAAGTATACATGTGATAAGGGATTGACGAAAAAACAATAACTCCTCGGTGTCTAAATCGAAACCTTTCGCTAAGGCAACAGTACTATGACGCTTCACAACTTCACTGTTGTGATGAAGATTTCAGTCTCTTATCAAGGCTTACTGATAAGAGACTTCTTAAAACACTTAATATTACTTATAAAGACTTCCTAAGTATTAGGAACTTGCGTTTCCAGCTCCAAAACGTTATTAAAGATGTTATAAGCTTCCTTTCAGAAACTCCTAAAGTTTCTAAAATCTGGAATTGGTTCAAGTTTCTTGTGTGTTAGAAAATTGATCTTTCTCACATTTCGTTTATAAATTGAAACAAAGTTTGCATACCTCAAAACTATTAGCTGAAAGGTTGCGGTACTTCATTTAGAGTTTAGAAGTCACCGTCATATAGACAAACACAAGTAACAAATATGAAGTTCCTTTTGTTCCTAAATTCCTAGAATATATATACGTATATATTCTAGGAATTTAGCTGTTTTTTCAGACTTAATTTTTGTCGAGATGGAAGACATATTTTCGCGTACTTCCACTCGCATCATTGTAGTAAGCACACAAACAGGTGCGAACACACACGCACGCATACGGAAATATATATTATATATACATATTCATGATTGGTCAATTTATATTCATATAAAATATGGCGGTTAATTGTTTTCATCATTTTCGTCTTTTAGTTTTTTGTTTAAATATTTAGTCTTTATGTAGTGTATAATGGTTTTACAGTTTTGAATAAATAAATTACCGAAAAAATGTATATATCTGTATATCAAATAATGAAATAGTCCTTGTTTTAGGGTAATGGTGTTTTAGAATTTAATCTCATTTTTGTATTAAAAAAGGAGGACGGAGTGTTCGACTGATACAGAGGCGAAATCACGCGTTGTCCAGTGTGTACACAATTATTTAGTTTCATCGATTATAGACCGTGTAAGATAAATTCAAATAATTAATTATTAATTTTTATTGGCTTTTGTTTTGTAATGCTAAATTCACTCGGTGAACAAATAGCGAATACAGTAGGATCATGAATAAAGCTTGACTTTGAAGTTACAATAATTTTCTTAAAATAATTGTATTGCTTAGAATGAGAATGATATGAAATATATAAAAATGGTACCAGTGGAATGAAATGTCACCTGTGAACAGGTCACCATCATTATTTTTACACTATTTCACCTCAGGTATCTCTGATATAGAAGTAGTAGCCTTCTAACGTTCTCTATACAGCATTACGCAACTAAGTTTTCATGCATACTCAGACCATCTGCTGACTTCCTATAAAATGTTGAGCTTGCAGGAGCTTCATTGATTTCGAGCAGAATGATCAAAGTTCATAAGTTCAAAATGTCTTATTTAAACTCAAGGGATCAAATTTTAATTTTATTCCTTTACTTTCTGAGTGGAACATAGGGTTTCAGGCTTGAGCCTGGAGTTTTAGTAGCAGTGGTATTATTACTTTACGGGGTGGGGTTGTTAGCCTAACGCCCAACTTCCTTTATTTTTATCGGGTCTACAATCGGCTAGGGGAGTCAATGATGTACTCCGGCGGGGAATCGAGTCTCTGACCGAATGCATTATCGGCGAGGGTCCTATGGCTGAGCCACCAACACACAAGGGATGAAAGGCAATAAAAATAAGTGGTTGGAAACAACCAGCTGGAAGCCTTGGACTTAGGTTTGGCCCTTTCTCTCACTCAGCAATCAGCCATATCCGCAACTGTAAAGGAACAGATGACATTGGCTACTCAATCGTGACCAGTTAATGCATTCACTACAGTCCCGCAAGAAGCCAATCATAAGCCTAACTAGTTCTGTAGTAATGTCTCTGACTACAGCACTGGGTAATGTGGGTTAAAATCTCTGAGACAACATTAACCCCTTCGAGGTTGCAGATAAACCTTACTAACGAATACTGTTAAGCTTCCTCCTCCCTTCCTCCCAACACTAATTCCAAGTGCATCGCGTTAGCGAGTCACCTAGTTTTTCCTTATTTCTAGGTCATCACTCGGTAAACAACATCAGTCTACATCATAATCTAAGCCATTACTGGAGTGACAGCTTTATAAATAAGGCAAGTTATAATTTTTATAAATAAAAGTGCTCACCGGGTTTACGAATAGGCAGTTTACTAATACTGACTTGACTGAACATTGACCAGAACAAGCTGTACAGTGTATGACGAAGTCTGTGTAGGGGAAGGTGAAAAATAACGAAAAAAAATATGAATTGTGAATTCTTCCACAATTTCATCCATCTTTCTGCGGTTTATTTTTTTTCTTACAAAATTAAACTTTATAAAAAAGCAATAACAAGTTATCACATGTTGAGTGGTTATAGAATAAAACGATATCATTTGATGTAAATTTAGTATAATGCTGATTACAAGCTTCTTAAAGTTTATAATTTGATTAATCCTCACCATGAAGACAAATATGTTTGGCTTACTGATGGATTTGACAGTAACATTATCCACGTGCAAGCAGTAGCAGATTGTATTTTTTCTCTCTCTACCAAACCTTTTGCCAAGAGGAGGGAATGGGATTCATTTTCTTCCATTATGAGAAACCTTCTCAACGCTCATTTACCACCCCTGTAACGTTTAGCTCAGGACTGTCAGTTTATGAAACAAGAGCCATTTTGAATGAATATGGTAACACGCAATTAACGACCTTCGCCAGTTTGTGGCATAACACAAACGTCGTCGAAATGAATTACTTGGCATTTGTATAAAAGAATAAAACCTGTGCACTATGGTAGAGTATAATTCCATTATGGGTAAAATTTGTTTTGATAAAGTCTCACAGTGTTATACAGTAATGTTTACTGATGACGTTTCAAGCACAATTTATTGCTCATAACCATATCAAGGTACCCACACAACTTTCTAGCTTCGTTTATATAATTCCACTATTTTTCATCGCTTGATTTGATTGGTCTTTACTTTAGCAGAGAACCGAACGCAATGGAGACGTGCGGCTGAAGCCCTATGTTCCTCTAGGAATTAAAGGAAACAATAATAATAATAATTTGTCTTTACGTCCAACTTTGTAGATATGGACTTCGCTGAACAAACATCTCCATTAGTATGACGATAAAATGTTTGCTTTATAATCAGATTTCTCGGCAATAGGTGTATGTTGGGATTGTAGAAAAAACCCCGAAGAGCTAAAGACTAGAACAAAGTGGTTATTCAGTGCTCTTCTGGTTAAAATGGTCAGACAAGATGTTGTCAGTTCGTAGCAAAATCAGCGTTCAAAAATAAATTAAGTCTTGACAAAAATGGAATATAATAAGCAGATATCCATGGTCTTTGGTGCCCGTTCAATTTGCCTGGATAAGAAAGAATTATCATGAAATTCTGGCTCTGATTACTAACTAGGAGTCTGAGTTAGGAAACTTTGTTTCATTAAATGAATTTCAGAAACAGTGTGTACCCAGTGCGTGCATACAAAACTTTACACGTTGTTCACAGTACGCTGATGAATGAAATAAATAGGTGTTAGAAAGGTTTTCGTATACTTCCAATGAGCACCGCTACTCTCCCGTTTTATTGTTAACTAAGGTATGTTAACTTTTAATGATAGTATGATCAAAGTTTATGAACTATAACGCTCTCTGTGTTAACTTCGGTTAATTAAGGTCTAATTACTATTTCAAATTTTACACCTTTTTCTGGATATTAGTGTAAGAAAATACCGAATTCAAGGCAACTCAGCGAAACCACGTGACTGATCACGACTGATTTAACCCCCCAAATTCCTGCTAGTGATAAATGTGGCAATTACTGTTTTAGGATGTCAAGAGATCCTATTTAACGATTACATTTTAATCGATGGAATCCAGTTGACATTTGCTATCCTGAATGGTGGTGAGTGCTATTCATGGGTCAATTATTTCTTAGTCATTACGGTTTATTCCTGAAATCCAGGTAATTAGAAGACAAAAGACTACATCGCTCTATGCCTCATCAGATAGTAATATTCTACTACGGGAAATGCTTGACAGCATTTTTAAAACGTTATCTCATGAAACTTCATGTATTAATAGCAATTCATTTCTGCATTTACTCCCTCTTGTTAATCTCGGTAATATTTTACCTCTTAACGTGTCTTAATGTGGCATGTTATGCTAATTAATTAAAGAGTACAATGAAATATTTGAATTTAAACTATACTAAGTGTAGCGCAGTCGTATAGACTCCATGAAATGCTATCATCTGGTAATACTTGTTTTGTGAATGTCATAAAGAGATGAAAGTTGTCTTAATTACACCTGAAAATGTGTAAAACACAAAATATCTCACCCTTCAAACATTTCTGTTGCTACTTGTGTTTGTGTGGTATTCGTTGCTTCATCATAAGTTTTGAATATTTGCAAACCATAATACCAATATAGGTTATGTAAACCGACCATAAATGCGAATAATACCTGGTGAAAAAGATGGAAAAATGTTTACAAGGTGAGTTATCCAACTAATTAATTGACAGACGGTTAATCTGAACGACGTTCACTAGATGTAAGGCATTTTCAAACTGATTTACCTGACCTACAGATCATTTCCCAGTAAAATTTGATACTCCTAGTCAAGTTCGGGACTTTAGGTTCGAAATATTGATTCAGAGTCACCGACACGATTAAGACCTACAATCCATGCTATTTATTTTCAGATAAATTCGCATTCCCTGTTGACTTACTATACCGGACTGAAATGCTCAACCTCTGTTGGCATGTTGGCTCCTAGTACAAACGCTTCAGTTTATCTGTTGATTAAGATGAAGTTATTTTGGGTTGACGGTAATTTCCAGTGGAATACAGGATGCGCTATTTAGTTCTCGTGGCTCAGTGTTTCAGTGGATAACCTTTTGGTGTTTGAAATGATGAGCCTATCCCAGTGAGAACACCATTTCTCATTGAGGAGACAAGTATATCCATATGACGAGTCCCGGATAGGGCGAAGTTTGCATTCTCGGTTCCACTGTGCGTCAGCAGTGAATGGAAGACAAAACGACATTTTGCTGCCTAGGACTATCGGCTACAAAATTTAGCTTAGTAAGTACTTAATGACCTTAATTTAGTCATTCAGAATAGTAAAGCGACTAACTAGTACAATCAGTCTTTTCATTCAGTCACAATCTGGAGCTCGACAGCAGCCAACATGTCTGTCAGTGGGTCTCAGAACACACATTTTATCTTTCCTTTGTTACAATGATTTCTTGTCTTTACAAAGGACACAATTTAACAAGTAGACTATATGTGACTTAGCAGTCATTCGTAAATTCATTCTTGTTCCAAGGCACTGACTAAGGCTTTGGTGTATTCAAGGAGGTGCAAGGCGTTTTTGAGTAAGAAGGATGCTTTCAGCGGAGGCAACCATTAAACCGTCAACATTGAATTCCTCACTTCGAATAAACAGTTTATTGTCCATTTTGGTGAAAAATTCAAGTACGGAAATGTATAAATTGCTGCCAAGATATAAAACATGGGGTATGCCCCTGAGAATTTCATTACTGCAGTGTTCTAGTTCCCTTACAGACATAATTTTTCCGATTACAAATTTTTTGAAGAGAATAAAGTAAAAAAGCTTATTTGACATGTGCAGTGCAGTGATACAACACACTTCGAAGATTCTGATCAGACATATATTTAGCATACGTATTGAGTGAAAGAGTTAACAGAGCACAAAAAGTCAAAGTTGAAATCAGTTAAGATTATAATAAATCTAATTATAATTTTTAATTATATCATTATTTTTCATTCTTTTGCGTTACAAGTACAAAACAGGCTTCACATTTTTGAAGTTCTAGTAGTGGTGTAGTTACGGGATGCGGCTTCTGGACTCACGTCCAATCTTCCTTCTTTTGCAGTCTTAATGGATACTAAACTAGTCGAGGTTTAGAAGTGCATTGGCCGCAGTCGAACTCTGAATGCTGTTTTACTTTCAGTGTACTTGAATTATTTTTAAAAAAATATGTGGATTACAGCTTTTAGCTTGTAATCAGGCAAGTAAGGGGCAATCAAGAATTTACTACTCACACTGGAGATAAAATGAGTGAATTAAAAAGTGGAGAAGTAAGATAAAGTGGTACTAATATGAAGCTACTCTAAAACATCCTGCTTAGAAGATCTATAAATATTGCACACTGTATAGAAAAAGTGGTTTAAAAAAAAGTCAATGATTACATCGTAGACATACCAATAAGTAAAGCACCATGAATCTTGTAATATCTGTTAGCATTCGTGTAAATGATATTTGTAGAGGTCCCAAGGCTTCGAATGCTGGCATTAGATATGTGGTACGAGCGAAACTGACTACATTGGCTACAGCAAACATAACATCTGATACAATTTCTGGATCGTCATATTTCCATCGAAATCGTGCTGTAATAGAAAGAAGAAATTGTTAGACGCTGTGAGTACTTATTCATAAGTCTGCTAGTATCTGCATGAACTTGCTTTCTCACTTCTTATGTGTAAAATGTTAGCATCTTTTGGTTACTTTGAGATTAGATATGCATTTTATTGACCGACTGATTAATTTATTGGGGTTATTTTTCACAAAACGGTATTTACAAGCGAAATATGAAAAATAGTCATTAAAAAGTTGTTTTGTTTTGCTTTATTACTGTGAAGCGGTAAGCACCAAAGACTAGATATCGGGTAGTATCCAGTATTAACTAGTCTAACCGTGAGTACGCAGGTATTCATTTATTGAATGTGAATTCAGTAGTTGGAGTTTTCGAAGCTGAATCGCTTTAATGCGTAGCATAACGGTCATTATGAATTACTGAAGGTTGGAAACCATAGGCAACCGAATCCGTCGCATTCTACATAGTTAATCGGCATCAAGTTTATATTTATTTAATGGAAAATGTATCCCGGATGATATTTACTTTTGGTAAATACCTATCAGTGCAACTATCTAACCATATATGTATGACTTGACACTAAAGCTGACTGCACTGCACTTTAATTTTATATCACGAAGAGTCAGTTGACTTAGTTGCAAAGTTGCTAACTTCTCAGTTGAGCTAAAAAGGTTCAGATCACGGAAGAGACATACGTTTCTTTGAGAATACATATGAACCTTGATGATGAATGTAATTAATCACATGGAATAGACAAAGGAAAGGCGTTTTTTCAATATTACCTAACAACATATCACAGATGATATAAGATGCTTTTTTATGATAATTTCGTTTGGTGTGTCACCTGCATGTTGAGATACGTGCTTTAAGGTTGAAAATATTTAGTTCACTGAGTTTGTTTTCCGAACACTATCTCAATGTAAATTTCTCCAAAAATTGATGTCACTTAGTTAACTTTCAAAAAAAGAGTGCCGGAAGACTATTTTGTCTCAGTCTTGGAGTCCTCAGTATTTACAACCCACGAATTCATCAGGGATCGAACCTTTGACATATGATCGGAAACCTATAAACTGTAATTTCTCTCCTGATAAAGACTAAAGTTGTTGGCTAAAGTAGTTGTCAAAAATTCACTAATGTAACACCTAATCTCTGTGATTGTACATTTAATTCGTCAGTAAATTCGATACAATCCTACTTAAATCCATATCACGATTTATTCAAGCAAATACGTTCTATATCATACTGTGCTATAGTTGCTCAGTTAAATCATAGATTCACAATTTCTGATGATTATTCTACTCACACTCTCCTTGATTATATTTGATTCTGTTGATTCACATTGTTTCAAATGTTTTTGACTAATATTTTATTATGTAATTGTAAAGCCAGATGAGAATTTACTGAAAATACGTATTTGCTTGCTGAAATCGTGTTATACAATTATCTTAATGGGAATACTCAAATCTATATTAGTGTAACATTCTGCATGTGCATATGTGTGAACACTAGCGCCCTTTCTAAACGGGCATCATTTTTATTCTTTATTTCATTTTGTAATTTATGATTTATTCTACTTCCTGTAACAAATTTCAAATTTCCCTTTATTAAAGTTGGATGGGACATTAGCAGTATTCCCTTTTTCTCCTAGTGGGACATAGGGCTTCAGCAGCATATAACCTTCTAATGTTGTCCTCTGCTGTCCTCTTTATCTGGCTTCATGATTGCCAATGCGTCTTCATTTTCTCTTCGAACAATCTCCTCCATGTCACTTTAGGATGAACAAATTGTCATTCTCATTTGAATTCCCCTGGAGGGCCTGGTGCGTGATGCCACTCAGCGGTCTTCTTACTGTCTGCTCAATCCGTCTTCATTTCATCCAGCATATTTGTCGGTCAGTGGGTTCTTGGTTAGTTTGTTACCAGAGTTCTTCGCTGCTATTCCTTTCCGACTGGCCACCTGATTTCCAGTTGCTGGTACGTCTGCAGTTGCATTTAGGAAATGCTTTTGGTGACATGTCATCTATGAGACATACAGAAGCAGTGACTTGACACTAGTATTGAAAATCCGAATCTTGTTCCATATGCTGAGTGCATCAGATTTTCCACACTGGTTTCAGAGTAATGTTCTGTCTTGTTTTCCCAATCCTGGAGTTGACATTCTCATCAATACCACTCGTAGTTGAAAGGATGCCTAAGTGAGTGACAGAATCAACTTCCTTCAAATTCCTCCGGTTGGTAGTGATTGGCGCTTATTGTTGTTGTTGTTGGTTAGATATCATCATCACCTCTGTCTACAATGTTCACTTGAAGTCCTATCTTCGCAGCTTCTTCTGCCAATTTAGTGCTTTTCGCATGTAAACCTTCGAGTCTATGTGACATTAGACATAAACCAGCCACGAATTTCACATCTCCTAGAGTTATTTTTTCGGTTATTTTTGTTGGAAATGTCACGACCTCATGCATGTCACGAGTAACTTTGATCTCTCGCTTTACACGCGAATAAAAGAAACAGACGCCAATTCAACTTACACGCTGTAATAAAGTAACTTTTATCATGATGACACGATTGTGTCCAGTTCTGAACCATTTGATGCACCAATTTACTATTATTATTATGTAATAAATAATTCACTTGAGCTGTTGCATTGAAGAATAAATCTGATTCACGAACCCAACGATCAACAATTATGCGTAGAGTATAGGAGCCAATATACATGGATAATATACAGAAATTCAATAAATTATAGGCATTACATATATAAGACCTGAATCCTGCAAAGTAAATATGTTTAATATCAGCAAGTAGGAGACCTGAACAAAAACAAAAAAAAACAATAACAAGAATTAGTGATGCGTATAAACAGACATCTGTTAGGATAACGAAAAGTGATAATTGAAAAAAAAAATATGTATATAATTTAGACAAAAGCAAATGAACTAATTTGTGTTAGGGAGTAGATCAAGTTTCACTATTGCTCTGTCAGGTTGGAATACTCACCATCAATGTACTCTTCATCTGCTCTTAGGCGCAAGTTTGAGCACTGTAGTCCTGAATTTACTGAATTCTGAATCTAATTGCAAATCCTGTCGATATCATTAGTGTGTTTCAGAGTTAGTGAATAGCACTAATACAATTCTTCTCCAAATAAAATATTGTATAGTACAAGACATATTAAGTACAGTGGCTAAAACTGTCTGATTTTCTTTGCTCTATTCAAAATTTTATAATTTGATAGTGTGGTTGGATACAGTTTGACAGTTTTATTTCTAATTTTATGGTATCTAATGTATACAGTGTTTGACAAAACTGGATATAACACCAAGATTCTTAATTTGTGAATCCAGCTACACCTAAGTGGAATTCAGTTACATCAAAAGATTTTTTTCGAAAAGGTGACGAATTTTATCACTGCTGACATTTTTCACAAATGCTGATAACTGATTAAAAATGATTGTAGTGTACATTGAGCCTTTGAACTTTTGTTTGAACGCACTCACCCACTTTTTGGCACTTCTTCCTCTTTCGATTTGTGACTCTCCTGTACCTTTTGGGTTCGCTCTCTCGTTGTGCTTACATTCGGCGCAATCTCCGAGCCTACCACGGTCAACGCAGCAGATAAGTGTATAACATCTTATTTTTATCAGATTTCATATCTCATTTGTGTAAAATATAACTCTATTCCAAGCACACTTGCCATCTCGAGTCTTTTTATCTTGATTCATTTCGTTAGTACTTTATCATCAGTTTCTACAGTTATATTTACATAATGGTGAATAAATTAGTGTTATTAACAACATTAATGTTGTTTAAATAACGTCGAATCAATAATAATAATAATATCAGTAGATTACAGTTCGATACCATCGACATAACAATGCACTGAATGTCAGAAAAATTAGGAAAAATAGTAATGCAAATTAATAAATTCCTAATCTCCACTGAAGGCCAGGGCGGCTGCTTCAGGCGATTCTCAATAACCTCTACTGTTCGGACTGTGAGGTACCTGGCTGCTTTTGGCAGTTCATTTGGTAACTGGAAGATGACAGAGAAGGGTTCTTGAATGCTGGCCTTGTGGCCGGTTTGGACTAGGTGATCTAGCATCGAACTGTTGATGGTTTTTACTACGCCCTTACTTAGTCATACTGGGAGATGTTCTAAAGCAGGAAAAATCAAGCTCTTAGAGCAGCGGCCAAAATATCTCACTTTACATGCGCAGTTGAATTGTCAGATACAATTAGAAGTGGCTAGTTTAGGTACTTCATCTTTCAATTGAGGAATCACTATCGGCTGTGTAGAAAATAGGACTTGTAGTTTGGCAGCAGTAGAAGTTCTTTTAGCTGAATTTCTTAACTTCTTCGTAATCACTTCGCTAAGTTTATTGCCGTTGAATTGCAGTGGTATGCATAAAGGCTTCTTGTTTACGGATATTGAGTAGTCCTTTTCAACTTTCTTAGTTATATGTCTCCTGATGAATTTGTCTGGATAGCCCTTTTCTATTAATTTATCATATATAATCCTTGGTTGATCTTCAGTTACCTTTTCTGAGCATGTAGCTATAACCCCGTGACTGAGGATCATTGCTAAATTTTTTTTGTACTGGGTGGGAACGAAGCTATGCAAATGTGTATATTGTCCTGTCCATGCTCTTTTCCTATGCAAATTTCTCTTTATACTACCATCTGGTTTTCCTGTAAGGAGGACATTTAGGAAAGTAATTCTACTTTGGGATTCCTCCCTGCACGTGAATTACATAACAGAATGTACTTCACTGAATTGAGTTATTATGGTTTTCCTATCCCTTCTTTTGGAAAATGCCGATAATACTGTTAGAGAAAACCAACTTTTCTGTCAGTTACCAGTAGAGTTATTATTAGTGCTTAAATAGTCAATCATTTTGTAAAAACTTCATTTTTTTTACATTGTTTTACTGGATAATTATAACACTCATAAATACAGTTAAATAAATTTCTGTTTTACCATGGGTTCATTTTTTGAAATAATTAAGACGATCTGTAAATCAAATGGGTGTTTTTTGGTGTAGTTGTGTTCTCTGTAATGGGCGGTTTATTTTCGAAGCCTACATGGTCTTTCTGGACAACATCTGCAGTGCTGACTTCAATTTTAAGTGAGATTTAGGAATTTTTAATGGATGAAATGTCAGTCTTTACTGATAATACTGACTATGGTTAGTTGGTTCTACAGATTTTGCAGCGATTTTATTCAGTTATATTGATATTGACTCTCATGTTGAGCCAATATTTGACCTTTCAGTCGTTTAACTTATTCTTTATGGAATGATAAACTTCATCTAGGGCTCTAAGCTTTAGCTTTGAAGTCTGAATAACAGCGATGTTTTCAAGTGATTTGGTTGCTAGCCTCACGCCCAGCCTTTCCTCTTTGTTGGGATTGTAATAGGCCGAGGTAAAGTTGTGCGCAAGCCTGGACTCGAACTCCGGACCACGTGCATGGTCGGTCAGCGCTCCACCGCTAAACCACCAACGATAAGATTCTCATAATATCCCAGCTGAATTGGGTTCTGCAGATGTCTGCGTGAAGTGATACGAAGGAGTGTAAATGACGTCTTTTGATTATTAATTTGCTATTATGAATGAGCAGATGAAGAGAATGCAATCTTTGGTCAGCATAGTGTGTTTGTCAGCTAACGAAATCTTTTTTATACATAACGTTTGTTACGTCTCTTTTTGTTGTTGGCCCTTTTTTATGTATAGTAAAGGATGACCATGTCAATTTCTGAGTGACACCTTTTTCAATAGATTCAGTGTTCTGACACTGATTTGGGGAATGATCTTTATACAGTGTAGAAAGACTGCCTTTGTTGTTTCGCAATTGTTTTTTAGAGATGAATTTTAAAACTTGATGAGATGGACAATGTATTTTAAGTTTAGCCACTCATATGCTATTTCTTGGCCTAATTTCAGATAATGTATAAAATTTTTAAATGTGTATTTATTGACAAATCGGGTTAACTAAAATTCTTATGAGTGACCGTTAGACTGACATTTGAATGCCTTTGGGTTTTTCACTATTTCTAGGTACAGCAGGAGAACCATTTTGAGTTCTGACACTCATATTAATGGCCTTTGTCTCCATTTGTCCCTTCAAGCATAATCTTCTGGAAATGCCCACATTTATAGATACATATGAATGGAGATATATCACACATAATTAAGCATTCCGCCTTTAATATGGTCAGTTTCAAGTTGAGTAGAGTAATCTATGCTAATGTATGTTAATATTTCTGCTAATTGCATCAGAAATAGGTTTATCTGGTATATCCTTAATTTACACACTGGTCTTGTTGGAATGGAATTAACAACCAGTAGGCTAGTGTAAAACTACAACCTAATCTTCTGCTTACTAACCACCCAGTAAATCTGTCAACGTACCTCAGTTAGAAACAAATAAAAACCTGAAGATCACTAATCAACTGGCCATAAAACTGCATGTATGGAACGCACTAGGAGAAGAAATGTGATGACACAGAAGGTAATTATCTCTTTTTCATAGTATACAATTCATAAAACATTTCACATTGATTTCCCTAGGAAAGTGACTACAATTAGGTATCCGTATTTGATTAGTTTGATACCATAAACAGCATTAGGATAAATTATAAATTGTATGTAGTACTTAGGCCAATCAGCAGCACAAGTCATTAAGCTGTGCAGATCTATGACAGTGCAAAGAATTGTAGAGTACAATCCAATTTCACAAAGATTAATCACAAAACGATTCCAAACACGAATAGCTGTGTTTTATTCAGATAAACACAGTCCCAACACTTGTATGCAGTTAAAGTTATCCTAAACGTGAAACTAACTAATATGTGAAGAGTTGATGAAAACATGGAATTTCATAATGTTTAGATGCATAATTCTTCTATTAATATACAAAACTGTTTCCACATGTTCAGAATGATTACCATAAGTAAAAAAACTAGCTCGCCTAACTGTCCTTTAATTAATCTGTTCACCAGTTACAACACATCTGTGTTACAGTTACCATTATCCAGAGGTTATTCATTTATTTACTAGTTAGCTTTTTCAAAAATCAAGCAAATGTTTGTTTTAATGCAACGGCATTTAGTTTATTTTTTTCTTGTAGGCTACAAAACTGTTAAACGAAGGCGTTATTACTGATGAGTTAATAATAGGTTTTTATTTCTAGGAAAATACAGAAGTTTGTTGTCTCTGAATTCATTTTACTGAAGATAAAATTTATTCGGAAATGAAGGGAAAGCTTTATTTGTTGGATCAGCAAGCATTTTTACATCAAATATTCAAAGAAAACGATTACCATTTATTATTTTGATAATAATTATTTCAGTATTTTAGCTGTGAGATATTCTCAAGTGGTTTCAAGAGCTTTTATATTCTTTTGAGAATGTCACTTATTATCCACTGCGGTGTCTTAGAAAGTCACAGAGTAATACATGAATGATTAGTCAGCTGGTCTGAAACTGTGATTCTATAAGTGTATCAATTTGTGCACTGCCGTCGGACTAATAAACTGAAATTCAGGAAAAAACTGTTCTCAGCCTTTAGTCTTTCTTAGCCAGTTTATTAGACTTCGCCATGATGATGATTAATCATTTACTTTTATTAACTTACCACAAGAGAAATTTATTTAAATTCGAACCAACGGTGTGAACCAAGTTAACAGTGGCAGAAAATGATGTTTAGGTTATGCTAGCATTGGACAATGTAAAGCGTTTGAACGATGTGAAATTCCTGAAAGATGGTGTGTACACTGGATATTCTGACTGAAATATCTTTTGCTTGGAAGTCTTCAAAACTCTGGCCAAGTACTGAAGAAGTGTCCTAAACTATGACCTGTTGTTTATCGCACATAAGCTAATAGGGTGTTAAGATGGAAGGTGTTTACACTATTGAATTAAGAATGAGGCAGTTGTAGAGTTCCACATGGCACATCATTTACTGTGCTATTGCAGTAAATAGTGTAGTCAAGATATTAATTACTCTAAATGCCTTGGTTATGGAGCCTTGGAGAAGCAAACAAATTGTTATCCAGGTTTTGAAGTGTTAGTCTATTTAAATGAACAGTGAAGACGTTAGATTATGCTGTAATCTGTCCTACGTATTCGAAAGTTTGAAATAGTTGGTTCTTCCGTCAAATACGTATTTCGGTCAAACCGTTAAACTAACTTATCAACACAGAGACACGTATCGGTAGGTCTACGTAAATGTTCTCATAAAAGTCTAAATGTGAGTTTGTTATGAAGTGAACTTTTCTATTCAGTGTAGTGGTAATTGCAGTAAGGATGCTCGTTGTTTGTAGTACCTTATTAAACGGCTGTCGTGGAAGATTGTCTTGCGTTAAGAATGTGACCACAAATTCTCAGTACTAAACTGTAGTGCTTCTACTGTGAAATGATTGGGAAAATGTGAGGCTTAGACGGATAATTTTGCATGTTGTTGTGCTTTTTGTACTTGTTATTGTAAATTCAAAGTAAATTTGCGGCTGAAGATGTTGTCTTGATTGTTTAATGAAGTCATCGTAATCAAACCACCCAACAAAACCAAAAAAGGTATTTTTACTTCAGCAGTTATAGATTTATAATTACATTATTCTCGAATTCACTGTCTAGTAAACATATTTGGTATTTATTTATTTAAACAAACAATAAATCAAAAGATTTCAAGCAAAACTACGATGAGAGTGAAACTGCGCCTTATATGTTTATGTACTTACCAGCCACCCATAATACAATACATATTTGAACATGTGTTATAATAGCTTTAGACGGTCGAAAATTTTTCTGTACCCATTGACGTATTGTGTCTTCATCTCCGGTGCCAAGCATCTGCTCATCTAACAAGGCGTCATAATTCTCTTCTAAACGGAATGTTGCTGCAGCAAGTAGTATAAGGAATAAAAAGTGTGATACCACGTGAGTTGCAAATTTTGCTGCTGGACATCTCATTGAACGTGCAATCTATCAGAACAAATTCAACAACACATTCGCATAAGTAAATTTAAACAGAATAGTAATTACTTTTCAAACAGTTCAGTAATATATATATTTTATTTTTCATTTTAATTTAAAGCTTGATGCCACACCGTAATTTCAGTACAAGTATGGAATTTCCAGCATGGATATCGGTTGCCCAAATTCAGGCATACCATAGATATCGGGTGTGCGCCGGCAGGGGATCGAACCCCGGACCATGTGCATGGTCGGCGAGAGTCCTAACCACTGTGCCACCGACGCATAAATTACCACTGGACACTGAATGTTCCACATGTATCACTGTAACGCATGTTTTCCCTTAAGTTTACTTACATATTAGTTTGAGTGACACCTGTGCACATACACTGCAGCCCACTTATAACTTTTATCAGCTTAGTTTTACACCTAACCTTCTTTTGACTTCAAACAGATTTCGAACTGGGATGTGAAGATCTGACTGAGCAGCTCATTTGATGAGGAACTGACAGCTGTTGTGTACAGTTGCCTCAAATAACTGTACTGTCCTGAAGCAGTGAAAGTTAAATGCATTCTTCCCTGGAATGAGCAGGCCATAATATCGTGTATTATCTGGTGTGACTTTATGTCAGCATTTGTCTCGCGGAATACAGTTACTTCTTTTGATGGAAAAATGCCTTGATATTTGAAGGTACTTATTCAGAGATATGACGAGAGAAGAGATATCAGAAACCTCAAAACTGCATAGAGATTATAGCAATAGGATTAACGTCTACATTAGTCATGAATGAGTAAGTTTATGGAGGTTGTAAGGCGAAGGTCAGCGATGAGAAATCTAGTGGCTGAACAAATAGTCTACAGCCACAGAAATGTTTCAATACGAATCCTGTTTCTTTTCTACTTTTTATATATTATGTTCGCCGTTTTAGATATGACCTCAGCTCTAGTCTTAAATATTTCAATTTATTTAATGTTATATCGTGAGTAGGAATTTATTGTCGATCTATCCTACTCATCATAGTCTATGTAAATCAGATTTAATCAGAATCACAAGACAAGTAGATGTTCGGGAAATTCGAGGTAAAACTGAAATAATAGACATGACAAACAGATGAAAAAGATATAAGTGAATTAAACAGTGACTCACATTCGAGGTAGGTAGTATTATATACATTATACAAAATAGGGGAAGTAGAGGTGTGGCAGCTACAGAAAGACCAATTTTCCGAATTAATGACCATGATTGCAGAAAGGCTGTCTCCGACCCGTACCATATACTTGTCAAATATTGTTGACAATTAGGATGAGCAACAAACTGTAAAAATGTTTATGAGGAAATTAATTTTTTTAACATCAGTAACTAAAGGAAAGGTAACAAAAAAAAGTTGAAGTAAATAAGGGAATTCAAAGTGGTACAATATTGCGACCTGAATGTTAATTATACTATGCTTACATGAGTCCTAACATCTTACGCAGTAACTAGTGGAGATTTTAAAAAAAATAAGGTTATTACCTTATGACTTGCGGTTATTTGTGACCAGATGAGCTTTACATCTGCATACTATATCCTATTGTGAAATCTCTAAACACACCTTAAAGATCACTGTAAATTTTCTAAGCTACAAATATTCCATTACTTAGTTGGTATTAGCTAGCAATGGATTCGAAGACGCGAATTTCCCCGTGTTCGAAATTCGTCCATTTGACGCGCCTGGACTTTTACAATGGAATGCCTTCGCTGGCTCGATAATGTTGATCAAATGGACAGTCTCAAAGGATAGGCGACGCACCACTAAGTGGGGGTGTTCCCACTAATTATAGAACCGACAGCCCAAGCCTTATTCACAGAAGCTATTTCGTGTGAAACGGGTATCAATTGTTGTTTGTCAAAATTACTTTGAATCGCCCACTATTTGATTATACTGGACGGAAATGCTTGGTTTCCGTTGGTGTGTTGGTTTATTGGGAAAATCATAACAGACTAGAGATGCGGAAATATCTTTACAAATAGCTGGAAAGGAGAATTTGGGAACACACCGCTGGCCACCACTATGGAAGTGGCATAATGTTGATGACAAGACATGGTCGAAGAGTCCACAATAGGATTTTATAGGTTATTGTGACCTGGTCATTGGGAAATTCTAAATTAGTTCGACAAAGTACAGAAATGCCGTTTAAGGGAATCGTATTATTGCTATTCCCTTGGGTTACTAGTAAAACGTAGGCCTTCAGCAGCTTATAACCACTTTACTCTGTTCCCTGCAGTTTTCTTCAACCAGTTTCACAATCTCCCATAAGCCTCCATATCCTCCTCAGACGATCTCCTCCATGTCATACTCGGACGCCTAATGTGTTGAATCCCACTCGGGTTCCACCAGGCGTGTAGTGTCACCAATGTATATATCCAGCCCATCTTCATTTTCTACTGCATATTTGTTGAGCATTAGTTAACTAGTTGGTTCGTTGCCTAACAATCCAAACAAGCCATCTGAACAACATTATTGAGCTAGCAAAGGCCTTTTTGAAATGTTTCTCTTGAGGCGTGCAGAAAGTCTCTGAACCATGGGGGAGCACTGACCTGCACTAAGTGTTGAAGATCTGGATTTCGTTTCTCATAAAAATCTCAAGTCCACAAATATCCTTCACAGAATGGAATAACTGTGTTGTTTTGCATGAAGAAGCGAAGTGAGCAAGGATATTCAAGACCCTTGCTTATCAACAATTCAGTTACGATGTAGGCAGTTCGAAACCTGTATTACTTCCTCCCTGCTTTCTTTGAATTACGTATCGCTGATTCATGAGACTACTAGGCGAAATCTCAGCAGTCAAAATAAAAACTGCGAACTACCCATCAGGTAAATTTTGATGAATACTCAGTAGACCAAAAGAGAAAGGATGTTTTGATCGCTGTTTTCAGTTCCGTCGTCATGAAGCAGGAACGTGTCCTTAGTAACTCAATTCATTTCACTAATATATTGGCGCCATTGTGCTAAACTACAGATTCCCGAAAGGTCCCATTAACGATCTGAATCGCTTATTCGTAAGTTAAGAAAAGATACCTCTCTTGCATACATACAAGTCGTTCATTGTGTGATTACGCTTCATCAAAAGTATCACGATAACTTTAGTAAAATACGAGGATGATTGCATTTATATAACACATAGATAAACCCAGATTTTGAGTTTTATGAGGCCTTCTGTCAATTTTAATATAGACGTCATCGCGAATCGGTACCAATCGAAGGATAGATGAAAACCAAAGGGTGCTAGACGGCTGCGTATCATCTGATAGAGTGGTCAGTGGACTGGTCTCGTGGTGATAAAGTCAGGGATTCTATTCCGGATGGTTTCATGTTTGCACACTGTTAACGGGTCTCAAAATATTAATGATGCTTTGACTCACGTCAGTTTGTGAATAAATCTGAACTGAGACTAATAAATGTTTTCGTGCCCTCTACTCTGTGGGGAAATCTCATAAATGAGTCAGCAGTTAGCACTAACAAGCACTAAGATAAAACACTTAATACTTACAGACTTCTCTTCTAAATAAGAGAAACAGAAACTATTATTTGGGCTAATTAGGACTGAAAATATTAATGAAAAATGTCAGTCACAATACATGATCTGTTTCATACCACGAATAACATCAACACTATTACCACAATAAGCATTTCAGTATATTCTTTGATACAATTACCGGAAAATTGATCATGGGAACTAGAAGTGAACACTAGTCCATATTAATAATATTTATCTGTTTGCAGCTCACTAGAATGTTTGGATTGTCGTCAGTGTTTACTCTCACCTTTACGGCTCTAACAGTCAGTTTTCAGGAAAGTTTTCTCAGATAATGTTTAAATATACTTTTTGTAAACTAGCATGTCCTAGGCTGTGGGGACGTTTCATCCATAATTTGATTACGTGAAACTTAATAATAACTGCATATGAGAAACTATCATTGTAGAGAGACAGATGCAATACCATGAATCTATGAAGGCCACGATTTCACTCTTACCAGTACATTTTAACAAAATTCGGTAACTAAGCCTCAAAAACTGTTCATTGATGAGATGAGAATCGCCTGCTGTATGATCAAAATGGTTGATTACCCCCTCTAAATGAACATGCAGACTCATGTAGTCAGGGTCTTTCAAGATCATGGAATTATTAGGGCTACTGGCTCGTCATCAACCTTCATTACACATAAGTTATGTTAGGTGTAGGACTATATCGAAGAAATGAGGACTATCTTTTTTTCGGATACAAAACGACATCAGCACACGTATACATACATCAATTAGAATAAAACAAATTTCAGAAGACCAAAAATAAGCCATCTCTTTTTCATTTCATTTGACACAAATTAGTTTCCGGCTAGAAAGGCCAAATAAAGATAATACTGGAGATGAGAATACAGCTTTAGGCAGTATGACACAAAGTCATGATGATTTTTAAGATAAGGTGAACAGCAATAACAATCACAACGACGAAAACAACAAAATACTCTAACACTAATCATACTGACTCTGTACGAGTGATAATAATATTCTTTACAACTTCAGGAAAATATTCTTGAAATATTCAATCAAAAGGATGGGTTTTATTAATCCCAGTATTGAAGGATAAAATTGTTTATGTATATACATAAACAGAAGGTAATCACAGTTGTGCGTACACTCCCACAAGCACACACATACACGAAGCTGCTCTCATTTATAGGATGAGTCAGACTATCAATGCTACAGAGATAAATGTTGTAATGATATTTCAAAGTATTGTAACCTCTTTAATACCTCATGTCGATTTCCTGACTTATATGTGATTATCTGTTTACAACTGATGTCAGCGAATAGTGAAGAAATGAGAGTGGTAGACAGATACAGAGTGAGAGAGAGAAAGAGATGGAGAGAAACAAAGCGACAGAAACTGAAGGAGATATAGATGTGCAGTTCATCAAGAACTGTGGCGTATATCATTCTCTTCTAGGGAAAGATGTTTCTTCGCATTGTTTTTCGTCTGCATGAATTTTTGTGCGTGTGTGTGTGTATGTACATGCGTATGTGTGTAGGAGAAATCTAATTTACTCACTTTAAAATCATTGTTGAGAAAACAAAAATAAAAAACGCCAAATTGAAAGATACATCAAGCAACATGATGAGAGGAAACAAAGAGGGACTATGTAAAATAAAATTAACCATAAGGATTTATCCCTTAATTTATTTTTTTCAATCGATCATGAAGAAATCAAGAGAAAAAAAGAAACCAGAAACAGAAGTAGAAAAGACAACAAAATAATCAGGTAAAAAATTAAAAAGAGCAGAGGAGATAGTAATAGTTAGATTAAATCACATATGTGTGTGTGTATTTGTATGCTTGTGTGTTCTGTTACTGTAAGGAACATCAGGAATTTAGAAATGCCTTTTTGACATGACATACATACTTTATGGTATTTAAATGGGTAGGTGGTTGAGTGAGTATAATTGCTAGTAGACTATTCGAATAACAGGAAAGAAAAAAAACTGCTGATAATGTTTGATTTACTTTAAGCAATAGGTGAAACAGAGGCCTCATAAAATACTGACTGGCTGTCATATGCTTGTTAGGAGTGACAGCCAAGTATACTAACATCATTGCACAGATCTGGTACAATTATCTGTTATTTCTTTTAATACATATTAGCTCATACAAGTATGCATCAGTGATTCAGTAGCAGACTTCTTGCCAGCCAGACTGGATATCCAGGTCCTGTTCCCTGGGAGATTCACTCTTGAATCTCTTCTAGTTTGTTAGTAAGTTCGGAAAAGAGGGAAAGCTTAGCGTGAGGCAAGCAACCCATTCCTTAAAGACAACATTAAGATTACTGGAACTTAAGAAAACTTTGAAGTCCTATGTTCCACTTGCAACGCAAAGCAATGGAAAAATATTTATAAAAGCTGAATGAATATAGGTTTTCACCACGCACATTTCTTCAATTCATCATCACATAATTTTATTTTCTTATGTCCCAAAATCAAATTTTGCACTGAATGAATACTAAGCTATATTATTTTAAGTTTTAATAGAAATTCCGCAAAAAAATGTATGATAATCGAAAGATAAGCAGTGGTTAGGAATGAAAGTGAAGCAGTTACTTTAATGCCGAATGCAATTCATCAAATAAATAGTATAGATGCCTTAAGTAGATATGTTTTCACAGTGCATTAATTTATAGTTTATGAGTCCTGATTAGCGAAATCGCATCGTCTGATTAGACGTGAATTTAGTAAAGGAAACCCTGTTTTGATTTTCTATATAGGTCAAAATAAAGGATAACAGAGCTCTCGCCAAATAATCATACGGTCGATTGGAAAGGATCTGAACAGCTAAAAGTTTAATCTGTGTAAAAGTAAGCACATTTCAAGATGAAATATTAAAATGTGCCAGTCTGTGAGGCGAAACAGATGATAAAACGAAAGAAATAGTACCAACTGGTTTGTATGCAAATTTCCAACATCCAACTATGCATTGCCACGAAGTCCTCGAAGTAAAGTAAATGTAAGCTTGACAGATTCAGTGTGATTTCGCAGAATAATGTTCAGAGATGAAGCAGAAAAATCATTATCAATTAAATGCTGTAAAACATATGGACTAATGACTATATGTCCTCGTAGTTAGCTTCAGCTGGGAGGTGTGCTGCGACTCTATGGAAATTATTTCCTAGTGAATGTTTGGTGAGTTTAGATTTACACGAACAGGTAATGATATTAATACACATCATACTTGTCTGTTACGCTAAAATATTCCTGACAGCGCCATAGAACAACTGGTATAAGTCAATCTTAACACATTAGAATAAAACCTTTTTCCTGTTGATTTTATCCAAATACTATTTGCAGAATTTTATTGCACTGATATTTATAAGTTCACTTGGAACTCTGTCTCTCCATATCTCATACATCCACGTCAAATTCAGGTGAAATTTCACAACTTATGAATTAAAGAAATATTTGAGAGCTGTTTTTGTTAATCTGGGATTTCGCATTATTGCATACCTTCTACCTCACTGGAGACAAGCTCATCACTGACAAACCTTACGAAATACGTATTATCCTTCAGTCTTCTGAATGAAGTACAGTGGTTACTGTTGAACGTTTTGAATGAATATCTCGTCTGGCACTTTTCTTAGTCCACTACATAGTTCATAAACATAAGAAATTCAGGACTAACTTAGCCACCAATGAACACAGTTATCTTTGATTGAAAATGATACTTGGATTTCAAACTCATTTTTAAGCTTTATTTTGCCATGGTTTCATCAAAGTACCTCAAGTATCAGTCAACGGGCTACTAAAGACGTTTATTTTCCAGTTTAACTGATATCGTTCACCATTAGGTTTCAAATGGTGTAAAACACTTGCAAAACTTCAATGTATCAAAGGATATACCAGTAAACAGAGTTTAATAAGAAGATGAGTTTACCTTTTTCTCTTCAAAACGTATTGCAAGCCGAAGACGACCCAGTGGATCACGAATATTTGTTCCGTCTTCTAGGAAGTCTGATATAACAGCCTCAACTTCTTGTGTACCTCTGCATAAATCCATCATTTCACAAGCGAAATTCATACATTTTTCAACTAGCATCAGATATTCTTTCTAGAAAATGAGAGAGGAGAAAGAAGTATCGAAATGCTATTCACCAGGGTATACAAAGTAGTCATGAAAAGTTAAATCTCTGTGTTCATATGCGCTTTAGATTCTTTGTGATAATCTGTTGTTGTCTTACGCACTTTTAATTTGCACCTTATATTGTCTAGTAATGAATACTTGGTAATCATGTCTAAAATATTTTGATGTTTTAATTGCTGTCTGAATTTTTATGATAATAACTTGCAACTTCAGCCTGAGTGTAGTCTTCGCAACACACCTACTTGAGTCTGGAACGATTACTGTTGATGGATAGAGAGAAGGTGAGAACTACCAACTGGTGTTTTTCTTTATGAATGCTTTTTAAATTACTAAGTTTATGAACCATAGTCATGTTAGGGTTTTTGACATAGAAGGTAGGGGAAAACCAACTCTTCAGCAACTCGTGAGTCTTGCCTGCTTGGTGGTTCTCTATGATAAAAGGATCCTACTAACCTTCGAACTACCTAACAGTCTACATATTGTTCTGATATTCACGCAAAAATTTCATATATTTATACCTAACCGGTTTTCAAGCATAATTTAAACTTTGCACTTATATGAGTCTGAATGAGGTATGACAAATTTTTATGGTAATCAGTTCTGGTGAATTACATGTTCATAACGTTTTTCCTTCAATATTTTAAAACTTTCTGTGTATTACAAGGCCTAGGGTTCTCTTCATTGAAGAGTTAATGAAACATAGAATTCAGAAAGAGGAAGAGAGAGAAGTGTGAGTGAAAAGAGTATGTTAAGTGGTTCTGTAGAAGAAAGTTATATTTTTATGGTTCACTACAGTTTTGTTTTTTAGACAACTTATTCTGTGTTATATGTATATACATATATAAATGCATAATGACGGGTTAGCTTGAAGAGTTTGACCGTACGTATTGCTCAGACCAAAGAAATCTTTATCTGTTTTACTTAAAGCGGTCAGTTTCTCCTAGATGACACTATCAGCTTGATAATGGGAATTTCGGGATTCTGGAAAGTTTCCGTCTGGAGGTATTGACACTTTTTTGGTTTTACATTAACTAAGAATAATATACATACATGTATGTATCGTATTTGTGCATACAGCGTAACAAAAGTGTATCATTCAACAATGAAATATGTGTTGGGCAAAAACTAAAGCAACATGGACTATTGAAATATAAACGTAATGCTTGAAATAAAAGCATGTTATTTAAATTTTGTCAACCGGAATGCTTTTAGTATAGCGTTGAAATGTTGAACACAAATCAGAAAAGTAAAGGTTCAGATACCTTGTGCTATATCATCAGGAAGGAAATCATATATATATATACATATGTGATAAATGAATTCATGTGGAATGAGTTAAATATTTCCCCTCTTGAGAACAAAATCTACAGATGGATACACTTTGGGTTGTCAATCAAAGTAACATGGTGTTGAAAATGAACTTCACAGTAATTTTCATCTTGTCTAATTCAAAGATATTATAAAAACATTTATGCCTAACACTAGAAGCTTTCCTGGGTCAGTAGTAAGACAGAAGCATGTATATATGTTTATATAAATCCGGTAATGTAATGTTTTTAGTTACTAATTCAATGAACCGAGTGTGGGTTGAGGATCGCTGCCATATCGCATCAGCTTGGTGGCATTATCCACAACAAACTATGGCCAAGATGTAATGCAGCATTAGCATGTTCTGTTTCAAATATGCTTCATTATTAAATATGTTAGTTACTCATTAAACACGAAATAATCAGATTTATGTTTTGCAACTTCCTCATTTCCTTTTCTATTTAGGCCTACTGTTTTAGACTTCAAACTGGCTGAACAAAGTTAAAACAAATGCAGAAAGCATTAAGTCTTAGAACAATTTAAATGTTAATAGGAATTCATATGCAGTAACCCCAATTCGTAGACATTTACACAGTAATAACTTCGAAGGAAGACGAGACACTATACAATAATAAGGGACCTATGGTGTACACGAAGGAGAGATAGATTTCAAAAAAAAAGATTTGAACGACAGCAAAAATAATAGTGGAAATCAAGTGAATTTAGCAAGACATTCAAGATACATAAATAATACCGCATGAATACGGATATCTATCATTATATTTTATTTCATTACAAAACGGCTAATCTGAATTAAAAGTGAATGTACCTCCCATGTTGATTATATGAATGGAGACAAAGCCAGTTTATTGCAATCTATCTGCCACTCATGTATATGTATATATGTAAATCGCGATACAAACATCATGATAATGCTTAACGAGTATTAATCGGCCCCTCTTTGTATCACATGATTTCGTGGTCACGGTAAACTAGGTTACTGAAGTACACCAAATTAAGTGAACAAATGATACGTGTTTGATTCAGTAGCGTCAATGTTTTCCTATTCTACTCAAATACAATAACTAATCTGAAGTTAATTGTTACTGGATGCTTTGAGGGATTCATCAAAACTTTGCACTAAACTCAAAATGTTATTCAAAATCTATAGGTGAAACCGGTTGTGGTGACTTTAAAAACTACAATTCATTAAATATATCCTTCGTCTTCATTTTGTACTCAATAATGTTCCAGAGAGAAAAACAAACAAAAAAATAACAGGGAATTAAAATCGAATCACTCAGATTTGAAAAGATTATAACTTTCCATTCCAACACAGTTGATGATGTTTTCCATAATTTAAAATCTTAGCTTAATTTCAGCATTCTGCTAACGGTGTGGCGATATTTTCTTTTACTACTGATGTGGTTGGTCAGTTGCAGTTCCATGAACTTCATTTTTGAAATAAGTCGCCACATAAACACTTCTGTATTACTGCACAAGTGATTCACTTAAAGAAGGTTCAATGAGTTCATTTTTTTCTACCATTTACACCCAGGGATTAATGTAACTGTCGGGAGATAATTAACTTTTTATGAAGTAAATGGCTTCTTGAAGTTTGCCCAAGTAGTGTGTGGAACACAATTCGTCATAAAGTAGAAAATTTGAAATGTTTTTCCTGTTGAGCGTAATGGGCAACTTCAATTTAAGACATCACTGTTGATTGGCCCCCTACTATAAGAAATAAGCAAGCAAGTTGGTGGCCGATATCTGTATCACGTGATATACAGTTTTAATATACAGCGTTAGTACTTTTTTTCTCAAACATAAAAACTCTTAATTTCTCTATGGCACTTCATGCATAGATGTTTTAGATGTCATAGACAGTATGTTGAGAATCAATTTGTTTTAATTTCGTCTTACACTAATACAAACAGTCCGATTTCTCATTTGCAAATTACATAGTTCAAGGTAAGAAATCACCACAGTTCCCTTTGGGAATCGAAACTTTTCGCATAGTAGTGTCATCCGCCATAAATGGAGGTCAAGATAGCAAGTAAAATAGCGTTATATGATACACTGCTGATCTGTATGGCTCGCCTCTAAATTACTTACAGCAAACAGCAGTTCTCATCAAATAAATCGAAGTAATATAAGCACTGGATTTCATTTATCTAGTGTGCTTTTCAGCTCACTGTTAGTGTGGCCGGCTTGACTCATCTCACACGGCCTAATTATTTCAAAGCACACGGATTCTGGCTATCTACTTGGGATAAACGATTCAGTTCTCTGAGTTGCTTGCTTTTGGGCTCATTGCTGTTGATTTCTACCCCAAACGATGAAACGGCCGGCCTGTGCTTATTTCTACTTGATCAAGCTAGTAAGCACCTCTAGCAAATGTGAGTGGTTTCCGACTACTCATATCACTCAACCAGTAGTTTGTAAATTCGCGCTGTTGTGGACATTGACAGAAGTTTTAGGAACTTACGAACGATCAGTTGTCCGGGTATTACTCATATTTTGCTTGGAAATGTTTTATAGGAGAGTATGGAATAAAACAGATCAGAACAGGCGCATTATTCTCGAAATAGGCGTGACACATAAATTATCTTGGAAATCACGGAAGAGTACATTACTTTGACACCGTCGAACGTCTTCTGGTTGACCGTGATTATCCTGACAGACCAGCTTGTTCCTGCAAAGCTGTCTGTCAAGCCGAGTCTGAGAGACTAAGACCAATTCAGATTCGCCAGTAATATATGACAGACATCACAAGTGCTAGAGTTTATCATCTGTCGAAAGGAATATTTCCTTTATTCAATCGTCTGTCTTTCAACATTTCACAAATGAACACTCGCCATTCTCTGTCACTCTACTGTTGTCTCTGTGACATTCAAAATACTTTGTTCATGTTGTTGTCGCATAAGATAATTAAATAGTGACAATGACAAGTAAACATCACTGACATTTATCCTTCCACGATTGGGTGGAGTTCAAATAATTCCTGTCCATTTTTTTCATCGATTCTTATTCCTGATGTTATTCTGTATTACAAATTGTTCTATCTGAGTGTTACTGTGAACTCCTTTAATTTTTTCCAAAGGGTTGTGGAGTTATATTTTTAAGTTTCGTTTATTATTCTGAACTGTCAGCATTCTTTATTCATTCTCTTATAAGAATGAGCTGCTTGCGTATATAATCCTGTGCGATGAATACTTGGTGAAGGAGATTTAGTGGTATTTCCAAACTGTTTGAATCCCTACTTGCCCTTGTGCCTTGTTTCAATTTCAATTTCTCACACAAGTATGAACTGTAAGAGCTTTTTATGGTGTGCATGTATAATAGAGTTACTACTAAGGGCTGGTCTATTAGTGAATTGTTTTAATATATTCATGGAGTGTTGGTAATTGTAATAGTTGGGTGGCTTGAATGTATGACTGTGTGTGAATTGGAAACCGGTGTGAAGTTCAAGATGTGTTCAGTGATGGGACTGATATGAGTTATTAAATAACCTACGTAAGCGAAGGGCGAATTGAGACCACATAGCTTGATGGGTAAAGCATCTGACTTTCAAAGGAGGAATGTGAGTTTCCAGTGACAACTTTAATAAACTGGTCGGTGAGCACCTACACCATCTGCGTGTAATCCTGTGCAAAAGA